AATCCTGGTGTCATGGTGTTGGCCATCAAGGACCTGTTTGCCAAGATTAGGCAAATGAGTTTTGATGGAAATCATGTAGTTCATCTTTCCTATCTGGAAGTCTACAACGAAACAGTCCGAGACTTACTTTCCCCTGGAAGGCCTTTGCTCCTCAGGGAAGACAAACAGGTTTGCACACAAATTCTATCACTGTACTGGCAGTTTTTTATGTACACCATCATATATACATTTTCATGTTTCTTGTATTGAAAAATCCATTTCTGGTACATTACTACATTAATGCATCAAATTTTCTGTACTATATGTGTATTTCTAGAGACACGGATTAAATGTGTTCTACTTCATATTATTCATTTTCATTTCTTTATTTTAGTTTTTTGCTCTAAACATTTCAGGGAATCGTGGCTGCAGGCCTTACTCAATATAGGGCATATTCCACAGATGAAGTAAATAACTCTTTTCAAGAACACTGGCATTAGTTTTGTTTATTATTATGGAGTATAAGTTAGGAAAAACAATGCTGATTTGTTGTTAATCAATTGCAGGTAATGGCATTGCTTCAACAGGGAAACCACAACAGAACCACAGAGCCCACTCGTGCTAATGAAACATCATCACGTTCTCATGCCATTCTGCAGGTCATTGCAATTTATAGAGTTTTTTTTTAAATAGGAAAACTCATGGATGAAGTAAATGGCTACATGGTCCCTATAGTCAGTGCGGAAATAGCATTATGGTCACTACAGTGTAAAATTGAATATCATTGTGGTCACTAGGATCATTCTTTTGTCCATTGTTATTATTTAGTCATATATTTTTCATTTTCCTCTCTTATTTTTATTTAAAATTATTATTATTCTTATTATTATTACTACTACTATCATTGTTGTACTTTTTGGAAAAAAGGAAAAAGGAAACTCTTTACCCTTATCTTACATTGTTGTCTGGTTCAGGTTATGGTTGAGTATCGTGCTAAGGATGGTTCAGATAATGTTGTGAGCCGTGTTGGAAAGCTATCTCTGGTAGATCTTGCTGGGTCAGAAAGAGCACTTGCCACGGATCAGAGAACACTAAGATCCCTGGAAGGAGCCAACATAAACCGGTCACTTCTAGCACTCAGCAGCTGCATCAATGCACTTGTTGAAGGCAAAAAGCACATCCCATACCGAAACTCTAAGCTTACTCAACTGCTTAAGGATTCCCTTGGGGGAGCTTGCAATACTGTTATGATCGCCAACATCAGCCCGAGCAACCTTGTTTTTGGTGAAACCCAAAACACACTTCATTGGGCTGATCGAGCTAAAGAGATCCGAACAAAGGTCAGTAATTAATTTGAAGTGTAACATTTTCATAATTAACATGCAGTAATCATTATGAATATATTAATTCAATTTGAAGGGTAACATTTTCATAAATAGTATGCAGTGATCATTACTTATGTTCAAACTCAATTAAAAGTTTTCAGTGGTCATTTTTGGAATACAATTTAAAGTTGCAGAAGCCTTTAATAAATCTAACATTAACTTGGTGAGTAGCTCTATATATAAATAAGTTAGTTATCTAAATCCGAAGCTCTATTTTACATTTCTGATTTAAACCAACAGGAAACCATTTGCGAGAAATTATGTGTTTCTAATGCTTCAGAAACCAAGTTGTTTTTTGTTGTTGAATGCCAATAGCTTCAAAATTCCTTTTCATTCTTTCTGTTTGAAGTGCAGCATTTTCATAATGCCACTTCTTAATTACTCTTTTTTTTATTATATGTTTTTCATAATGCCACTTGTTGCCTTTATCGCCATCATTTCATTAACTTTTATGCATATGCTTACTACAGGCTTATGATACACATGAGGAAGTGCAAATTCTGGACACGGAAACTGATCAGGCCAAGCTATTACTTGAGTTGCAAAAAGAGAATCGTGAACTGCGTACACACTTGGCTCGCCAGCAGCAAAAACTGCTAACCATTCAATCTCAAAATTTGGCAGCAAATGCATCTCCTGTTCCTTCTACAGTTTCCTCTCACCTATTGTCCCCTGCACCAACCCCACCTGCTTGGCCATGTGAGAAAAGAAATAGTAGACCCTCTTTCTTAGGTGGTAATTGCTTCACCCCAGATTCAAAGAAAAAGGCAGCAGATGAGACAGTTAAGGAGCTGAGAAAAACGGTAAAGACACTTGAGGCAGAAATCGAGAGAATGAAGAAGGATCATGCATCTAAGATTAAGCAGAAGGATAGTGTTATTCATGAGCTTTCACGTAAGACTACAAAACCAGTAGGTGGGGGAGATGTAATGAAGAGGGTTATCACAAGGGCCAGCTTGAGGCCGAAGAAGCCAAGCGAAGATGAGATGAAGAGTCCATGTCATCGTTTTGTATCTCCAGCACCCACTTCTAAAAAGCGTAGCTTTTGGGATACAACGACTGCAAATAGCCCATCACCATTTAATGGGAGAAAGACCAGAAGCCATGTTATAGCAGCTCCATCCAAGCTTCTCCAGGTGAAGTTTACTTCTGCATTGCAATATTTGTTTTTTTGTTAAATCTTTAGGGTTTCTTTGGATGAAGGTATATTTGTGGGAGGGAGGGGGGGGGGGGGGGATTTGGAGGGAAAGACTTCAGAGGGATCAGTCCATATCTTGATAGATATAATGTTTCTAAAACTATTAAATGGTAATCTGAAATGTGTTATGATAACAACTTATGTCATTCATTTTTCTTTTCCAAAATCCAAATGTATATCAATATATAGTAGACTCTAAGACCTCCAAAACCTTCCCCTTCAAACCCCTTCATTCATGAGCATAGCCCAGACTTTCAAAATTTTGAAGTTGGGGTGCGCCGGAAAAATTATTCATTCCTATATATTTTTATAGAAAAAAAATGTTACACATGAAAAAATGTTTTCTAACATGGGGTGGGTGAGGTCCCTCCTCCATCTAAGCACATGCCCCCTTCCACACCGCCTTGCAGTATAATAAGACGAACAAAGTTTGTGCCATTGCTTGCGGTATTTTACTTTTGTTAGCTCATCAGGAAAAATGCCTAAACACAAGTTATGAATGGTGCTGCTTGGTCAACTTTATAGTATACCAGGAAGCTTGGAAATCGTAACTAGTTATAATAAAAAATTATGTGCTTGTCAATATAGGGAAGATTAAATTGTTATAGTAAAACCACTTAAGGAATAAGCACCATGAGATTATGTTTTATACCAAGTGACTTTAGAACTATTTGGTTGTAAATTCTTCATCTAGTTATTTATAAAGAAATAGACCAGAATAGGAGTAGAAACAATGGGTATCCAAAAGACCAAAACCAGGAGTATTATGTTTTTCCGCTAAATAAGAGTAATAATTGTCATGTTTGGAATTACTGTCAATTATGGTATTAATATTGTCATATTTAATGTCCGGTAATGCCAAAATATAATAATACCCATATTAATGCTTGTAATGCACAAATGCGTCAGTATAATATCAAAATGACAGTTATTTGCGTCTATTCAGGGGGAGATATAGCACTCCAATTTCGGAACTTCACATCGTTTTTAATCCTATTTTGGGAGATTTCCCTAATATATATGTATTCTTTTGAGGTGTTTTCCTATCTCCAGAACTGATGCATTTTGCATGTCCTTGTTTTTATTTCAATTATACATCACTCAGCCAGGATTCGCAGGATGGACAAGGCCTGAAATTGTAAAGCTGTAGAGAGTGTGGAGCAAATTTTAGCAGAAATGTCAGGCCAACAGGTACACATCATCAGTCCAGACGAGTCAGAAGTTTTTTGGTGCTAATTTTCGTCACGCTGAAAGAAGTTCAATCGTCGTTATTCATTTTGATGAGATTGCGGTCAAATGATATAGTTTATCTTCTCCAGCAAGGCAGCAAACCTTCCGCAAAGTAGTGACATCCATGTTCATATAGTGCACTCTTTCTTGCCAAAACACGAGGTTCCCTGCACATTCCATTAACACCCTGATTATATCTTAACATAAACTGACATGTCCCCCGATTGTTAGGGTCTGTTTCGTCCTCTTAAGTCTTTGTTACTTGAAACTCGCATCGTGTTTTTTGTTGTATCTTAGGCATTGTTTCAGAGATCTGATCTGCATTGTTTATATGTGAATGCCCAGTCAGGCATACCTGACCCAAATATTATTATGTTGTTGCTTGCTCTTCTCATTTTTTGTGTTCTACAAGCAAAGTTCAATGACAACAATATAGTAAATCTTGTGTTCAAATCATTTGTCTCATTGTTTGCTACTCCTCATAACCAATGCAAGATTTCCAACTAAAATGTTGAGTTAACCCGCAGGGTAGCTCAACACTGCCTCAACTGGTAAATCGGTGGGAAATATTGGACATTAATGACCAAGGATCGAAAAATGTAGTGGTCGCGTGGAGAGCATAATTATTTTGTGTTGGATAGCTTCTTTGGTGCGCAGGAATATAAGATCCATCACCGTTATGACTGATAGAGTCATTGTGAGTGATATGATTAATGAGTTGAAAATATAGATTAGGAAACGGCTTTTAAATGGAGGTATTTATGGGATTTTAAGATACCTGGACAATGTCAAATTTTGGTGAAACTAATAAAGTTCATCTCGCGACATCCCAACATGAAAAGGACACAAATATGAGGAGGGTAATAATGAGTCCTGCCAAAACATAAATGCAATGATGACAGAGGTAATAGCTATTGGTCAGTGGAACCCAAAACATAACGTGTAGATTTTTATACCCATGCCACCAATTATTGCACCATAATAATATTCAGAGTCGCTCCTCGCCGTGAATGTCATATATCCCGGCAACAGGCAACTCATCTTAGTGCGAAAAACCACATTTCTTTCTGGTGTTATTTAGTTTGGTCTGATCTGGTCTGGTAAACATTGATCTTGTCTGGGACTGAAAATAGTCCAAAAAAATCTACTCCATAATATGTATCCCAAATATTTATCACAAACGTAATCAATAGACACAAATGACAGTGGTCGCATAAATGGCCTTGACCCAGCAGCTTGGCATTTCATTCACACAGAGTTGTATAGAAATATGGGAAATGGTCCAATATAGAACTGGTCCTTATTTGGATTTCTATCGGTGAAATGGTTATCATAGTTCAATTAATTTTTCAACACACTACGGAATTTGGGGCTATTAACATCACGGCCGGCCTTCTTCAATTCCTTCCATTATTATTCATGAAGGATTCGCATGTACTGCCTACATGGAAATGAAATATGCAAAACATAAAAGCAAAAAACAATACAAAAAATGCAATGGACATGCATGGCCACTTATGGCTGGCATTAATCCATATTACTCTTAGGTAATGCATGTTAATTAGTTAAACTCGGTCGATCGATCCATGATCATCCATCTGTTCTGAGAAGGTAAAGACTGAGCTCAGGAGGAGCATGGCTGTCTGCAGGGTTCATCATGTACAGTGCTTCTGAATCTCTACACCCCACCACTCTCTCAAACTTCGCTCTCATATACATCACTTCCCCGCCATAGCTGCCGCCAATTATGGGTGGCAGTACCCCCGCTCCGGTGGTGATAGCCTCCACGCACTTCAAAATCTCCCACTCTCTTTCCCCGCATTCTCGTCTGCTGTTCCCGAACCCACACTTCTTTCCATTCAAGTATGCTCTCCAAACACCCTCCTCATCTATTACCCTCCTCCCGCTGCCGCTGTCTGCCGCCTTCTTCCTGTCACACTCCAGGGCGACCCGGACCTGCCCCGAAGCCATCTCCCGAACCAGGGATGATATTGGGGTGGCTAACTCCACCAAGAACACCGGTTCTGAAGTGGGGTCCTTCTGGAACACGAAATGCACGTGGGTCCCACGCCTGGGGCCGAAAAGGGTGCCTACCAGCAGCCTCCTCCTCCTCCCGCCGCCTTGCAGCTGGTTCATCAACACCGAACTCAGCCTGTTCCTCCCGATCGAAGTCAGCACTGATTTCAGCTTACCGGTTGTGCCTGCTGCCGCTGCTGGTAGTGATGATTCTTGGTTCAGCTTCTTGTTGCTGTCTACTGCTGATGGGTTGTTCTTGGATGGTTGTTCTTGATCGGGAGATGAATCGTCCTCTGCTTCCCCGCGGTTTCGTTTGACGCCATAATCTTCATCCTCTTCCTCACTCCTGACTTTGGTTTTCCAGTGGAAGTGCAGTCTCTTGGAGGGAAAATCAGCTGCTTGGTGGAGGATACTCTTATAAGCCATCATTGTCTAGCTTCATCCAATAAGACTGCTAACTAGCTAGCTAGCTTGCTAGGAATTGAATGAAGGAGCACACTACCTTTAGTTAGTATTTTTTGGGTTAGAAATGTCTGTAGTAGGAGAGTTTGGTCCCTCTTAATAAGCTATTCCCTCTGATCTGTCCCTGGTCCACTTTAATTTCTCTTTATCCTTGGCTTCTCAGGATGTCTAGTCCTCTTAAACCCTGTTACATGTGGATACCATTTTTGTCTCATAAAAACGGGATTTACATATCTGCATATTTATTTTGTATTTTCATTCTTATAACACATCTAAACCATTTTCATTCACTTTTGCTCTTCAAATACATGTAAAGTCTATGTGTGGACATTGTCATAGACATTATCTATACTTTTTTTTTCTATTTGTCTCCTAAACAACATTTAAGCCTTAGTACCAAAAGATATTGGGGTCGGCTAACATGATATCACCATCCGAGATGGTCTTAAGTTGTTCACATTGTCTGAATTTAAAAATAACCCTTGTTTCATTCTAATTAATTTTAAAAGTTGTTTAACCCTCTAAAGCCTATATGGTAATACTGGAAAATGGCCGAATCGACTGACTAATTTGCTTTAATGAAATATTGGCTGAAATCGGTGAATCTCTTGAATCCGTTGAGTTATGAAAATATTATATTAAAAAAATTGCCAAAAAGTCATTTAGCTGATTAGTACATTTTGATTGGTAGACAATAATGTAGTAAATATAACGTAGCATGAAAAATAAAGGGAAGAAGTTTTGAAAAAGAAGAAAGGAATGTGAAAGAGGCAGTGGATTTGTGATTTTCACTTTGTTGTGGGTGGGGGGCAGTGGCGTGAAAGGAGGGTTTAGTTTGACTGACTCACTCACTCACTCTATCTCTGCCTCTGGCTTCAATCCCAACTAAAGAAAAAGAAAAAGCCAAGTGAGTGATGGTCACAAAAAGACGGAAGAAGACAAACATCTGTCACTGTTTATTCTCGACATCGCTTCTGCCGCTTGTCTTCTTCATATTCTTCTTTCTTCACACCGGACCAAACGGCAGGTCACAGCGGCCGGCAGCCACTGCCTCCGGTTTTGGGAGTTTTTGAGACGTAGCTATTCCCATCCATCTCAAAAGGGATGACTGATGTGGATCCAAACGTCATCAACACCTTCGCCCACCATCCTAGCTAGCTAAGCCAAAACAATTATTCATCGCTTCGTTAAGGCATTTCCTTCCACTAGTTCCATTCACTAACCAAACCAAACTAAATCCAGCAAATACTGAGTATTCCATTCAAATGTTTTTAAAAAGCATTAAGAGCATCTCCAACCCAAGGATGCATTGGAGATGATGTGTCGTCCAAATGTAAAGGGTCCATTGAGAATGGAAGGGAAAACAAACAAATTGGAAGGGTCTACTTTTTTATCTACTCCAATGCGGATGAAATCACAAAGCAAAATAGAAAAGAATCATTGCTTTTTTTTTAAAGTTGGTGAGGTGAGACCCAAGGTCTACAAATGGACCTTGTGCAAGACCTTGGCCTTCTCTCTCCTTTGCCAATTAAGTTTGATCTTCTCTATTTTTTGTTGCATTGGAGAGCACAATTATTAAAGTGGAGTGCATTTGATGAGGTGGAGATGCAATCCACCCTTGGGTTGGAGATGCTCTAAGCGTGACAAGCGTCAAGTTTCAAATCTAGGCAAAAATGAGCAAAGTCTAGACTTGAAAAAACGTTTAAACTTTCGGACCGAAGAGGGTGGCACAAGTTCTAAGAAAAGTGGGTTTGTGTGATTGGTATTAATTAATAAAGTAAGAATAAAGTTTAAATGATTTTGAACCACACAAATTTTACCAAATAAGGTATGAGACAATTAAATAAGGACATCCCAATATGGTAAAACGGGACATTTAAAAGGGGACGGAGGAAGTATATTATTTACATAGTGCTATATAAAGAAAATGATGTGGGGAGAGTTCCAAAATAAGAGTAAATAAGTTTTGAAATTTCAAAATATAACTGTTATGTTTTTCTTCTCAAAATATGAGTAAAATGATGGTATATATTGTCACAAGAATGTTCAGGTCCGAACGTTCGGACTGGAGCCTCCGTCCGAACACTGTCGTTCAGACAAGAATGTCACAAGAATGATGGTATATATTGTCAAAAAAAATTCTTCAAATAATTTTTTGAAGTTGACTGCATTTTTTTATGTATATTTAGACGCAGTCAACTTCAAAAAATGATTTGAATGCCTTCCCGATCGAATTTGGAGCTGAAATTTGGTATGGACAAACTAGACTTGATCAAAAACATGCTAAAAAAATTCATCAAAACATCCCACCGGGAAGTGCCCCAAATGGCCATGTTCGGACGGCGTTCGGACCGGGGGCTGCTGGACAGGATCATTCCTCTATATTGTCATCTTGTCATGTCAAATAGTTGCAATACTACGCATTAAACGTGAGAGTATTTACTATCACCAATGGCGGTATTTTTCAATCATGATGGTATTATTCAATCATGGCAGTAAGTCAGTAACGACTCCTATTTCGGAAAGAAAAACATAACAATCTTATTTTAAAATTCCAAAACGTGTTTACTCCTATTTAGGCAATTTCCATTAATAACATGTTTATCTTCTCCTTCCGCCTTAGGTTTATGTCTTTTCACGTCTTTGTTAGTCAACTCTTAATTGACTACATATTCCACGCATTTATATTACAGCCTTGTTATTTGTACTCATCTTTATAAACACTAATGTGAAGGTTGCTTTTTTTGTCTGTGAATCTCGTTCACAAACAAAACATGACATGTTTTGTCTGTAAACATATTCATGGATAAAAGTGATGAGTTTAAGGATGAGTACAAATTATAAGGAGTATCATACTAAGTGAAAATAGAACCGATTTAAACAGAACTAAATCACTTCACACCTGACATATAAACTTCAACCCATTGTTTACTCTCAAGTCTCAAATCTCTTGAATACCGTGAACTGTCCCCGCTGAAAATTTTATGTGCTAATATTTGATTAAATTCTTTGTTAGAAAGTGCACCTCCTCATTTCAAATATTCGTCAAAGGCTAACAGACCAAATTATTTCAGTCATTTCTTCCCTCGCATTCTCAAGTTCAATTCTCGCTTCCATTTAGATAAAGTTAATCATCTTATATTTCAGTTCAAGTGAAAACAAACATAAATCTACTTGGCATTGCGCCATTAATTCTTGTGTTTGTTATTCTTAGTTCCAACTCCCCTTCCAGCGTTACCTTTAATATACGTAGTAGTATAGTTTCATTTTCAATGTTTAGTTTCGTAACGTTATCTCCGATATGAAATTTACCATTAGATAGCTTAGATATAGACTTTATATTACTATTATTTGTTTGTTTTATTCCAGTTTTTTCTTTTTATTAATATGTCATTGTCTTACACTCGTACCTTATATATATTGAATATGAAAGTTTGAGTGTAATTAATTTGAGAGTCCCGAGAACCGTAAAACAAAAATAAAAAATGATCCGAGAACCGTTAAAACAAATGAGGTGCAATTTCAAACGTTATGGCATTATGCAGTGTTGTTAAGATTCTACAAAGAAAACACCACATACGGAAAGTTGAGTGAAAAAAGCCCCCAATCTGCACCGCACCTTCCTCAACTCCAAGTGCATCAAGCAATTTACATGCAAATGAATATGAACATACTATTATATCTAGTTTACGCAGGTCGAATGCAATCTAATCATCCTAGCTACAGGCCTTTATACAAAATGCAGGATAAATAAAGATGCAAAAAATAAAGCTAAAGGTGTGGGTGCTTGAGTAAAGCACCAGGATGTGGTTTGGTGATGAAAGTTAGCCATCAGTGTTTTTTTGTTCCTGCTCAGAATTTGACTGTGTGGGAAGCGTAATGCCAGTGTTCATCCTTGCCCTTGCCTCCGCAAACATCCTCTGCTGCGCAGCTAATGCTTCTTCTTCAGTCATTTCAGCTCCTCCATTGCTCAACTTCCCCATCCTAACATTGTCCTGCTGGAAATCACATGGTACGCGTATGAAATAATAATATTTTAACAAATTGCAATGGCTTAACTACTAAAAGGAAAATGGCATCTATCAATTAACTTCAGCTCAGCAATTACCATGGTTTCCAGCCTGTGTTGTTCATATGCAGCGTACACTTCTTTGATATATTCCCCAAAGCCAAGAACCTGCCTCCAATAGTCATCAAAATCAGCCGAAAAGAAAAAAGAACAAGCATAACTATATACTCCAATGTAAGCTTAAAGTGCTGCAAGGCCTGCACCTCATACAAACTTCAAGTGATTGCTAAATGGGATTGTGAAATTTAACGGAGATTCAATTATTTTAATGAAACTATCATAAATTGTTTCACAAATTATACTATTGAACTATAAAAAACATGATGACTGCCCATTCCGTCAACTTTAAGCCTATGCATCTAAGCGACTTACATACAATACAGAAGAGAGAGACACATTTGAAAGAGACAGAAGGCAACTTGAGTTTTGTTTTTCCTGACACAGATTTTTATATATTACAGGCATCACACAGACACTAGAATAAAAATCAGATGAAAAAATACAAGACTCTTATCAAAATAGAACCACCTTTGCTTTTATTCATAAGCTGGAAATTATTCAATCCTTATTTTAGAAAGGTTAATAGATCCAACAATGTAATTTACAGATATACAGTGATAGACGAATTTGGTTGTGGTAGCCAGAAATTGTGGTTTTCAGCATCTTTTCGATGGTAGTTTTTCCTAAAAAGTTTTCCCTAAGCAATTTTCAGGAAACTTTCCTTGGTGAAATTTCTTATGTCGGCGGTGGTCAGTTTAAGGTAGTTAGTAGCATTTACTTACTACATGGTCATTCACTAACTACCTAATCATAAATTGATGGTATTTTGGTCACACCATGTATTTTGGAGTACTATTTGTATAACAAATACGGGGTATCATGTTTTAATCCTATCCATGAAATTTTCTCCACCTAGATTAACAGCCCCAATCACAGTGAAGACCTCAACGAACTAATGTGGACACTCCTCAGCCCGAGGACAATCTCTCAAATACGCATTTGAGGCCCATTTTTCTTTTCTTTGCTGATTCCTCTCAATGAAATTTGCCAAGTA